TGAGTAACAATTCTGTGTCTGTCCCTGAGTAACAATTCTGTGTCCCTCAGTAACAATTCTGTGTCCCTGAGTAACAATTCTGTGTCTGTCCCTGAGTAACAATTCTGTGTCCCTGAGTAACAATTCTGTGTCCCTCAGTAAGAATTCTGTGTCCCTGAGTAACAATTCTGTGTCCCTGAGTAACAATTCTGTGTCCCTGAGTAACAATTCTGTGTCCCTCAGTAACAATTCTGTGTCTGTCCCTCAGTAACAATTCTGTGTCTGTCCCTGAGTAACAATTCTGTGTCCCTCAGTAACAATTCTGTGTCCCTCAGTAACAATTCTGTGTCCCTCAGTAACAATTCTGTGTCTGTCCCTGAGTAACAATTCTGTGTCCCTGAGTAACAATTCTGTGTCCCTCAGTAACAATTCTGTGTCCCTCAGTAACAATTCTGTGTCCCTCAGTAACAATTCTGTGTCCCTGAGTAACAATTCTGTGTCCCTGAGTAACAATTCTGTGTCCCTCAGTAACAATTCTGTGTCCCTGAGTAACAATTCTGTGTCCCTGAGTAACAATTCTGTGTCCCTGAGTAACAATTCTGTGTCCCTCAGTAACAATTCTGTGTCCCCGCAGTAACAATTCTGTGTCCCTCAGTAACAATTCTGTGTCTGTCCCTCAGTAACAATTCTGTGTCCTGTCCCTCAGTAACAATTCTGTGTCTGTCCTGAGTAACAATTCTGTGTCCCTGAGTAACAATTCTGTGTCCCCTCAGTAACAATTCTGTGTCCCTGATAACAATTCTGTGTCCCTCAGTAACAATTCTGTGTCCCTCAGTAACAATTCTGTGTCTGTCCCTCAGTAACAATTCTGTGTCTGTCCCTGAGTAACAATTCTGTGTCCCTGAGTAACAATTCTGTGTCCCTCAGTAACAATTCTGTGTCCCTGAGTAACAATTCTGTGTCTTTCCCTGAGTAACAATTCTGTGTCCCTGATTAACAATTCTGTGTCCCTGAGTAACGATTCTGTGGCCCTAAAGTCTCTCTGGCCCTAACTCTGTCCCTAATACAGACAGGTCTGTCTCTCTTGAATGACCGCAGGCTAATGAGAATTGTAAGATGGCCGCAATTTATAGCTCCACCATTTACACAGTGCTGGCTGGCTGGCTGCTGATTGGCTAATGCGATCACATGTCATGAATGAATGCATTATGGGTCAGCGCGCCTTGTCTGCGCGCCTTCCCAGAGATCCCCGCTCCGTCGCCACACATGTCGCCGCCATTTTTGGGAAAATTCGATTCGTGCATCCGAAGTTGGCTAATTTTCGGATTCGGCGCGAATCGAATATTTCCCAATATTCGAAACGAATTCCACTTCGCCATGTTTGATTCGCTCATCTCTAATGTTGTCCATGGCTTCTCTGGTTATGGGTTTTCGTAATAAGCTTTCATTAGGCAGCAATGCCATGTGTGAGGGACATAGTCTAATTTGAATGACTGTAACATTTTGATTGGGCATTGTCTGACCAAGTGATACTGCCAATATCTGTTCTTGCAAGAAGGGAGTAGTCCCTATGTCTCATAAGAAAGAAGTCTCTGTACAAGAATATTGCTTGTGTGGGTGCTCAGTAGCAGGCTTAGTCACTGGTGTCTGGGTTTAGAACTGCCATACAGATATCATTTGTCAAGCATGTAAAGAGTGACTGATTGATTTGCAAGGTAGCCTGAGGTAGATAAGAGCCACAAGAGAAAGTATCTTTTGTAGAGTCAAGGGAGGTATAAGAAAGTGGGTATTGTGACAGACCTAACCGAACAGTGGCTTTTGAGAGGGATCTGTGGGGCTAGCCATCTACCCACTAATTATGGCCCATGGAGGAGACCATGAATTTTGTCTGCTTCTCCCGGTCTGAGCATGGAAGAGAGCTAGGTCCTGAAAATCTTTGACTGGCTGGAAGTATCTACTGAGATTATGCAGCCAGGAAGTCCCAAAACCGTATTGCGTCTGTGGGAGCATTGTGTCAAACAAGTCATGCAGACTCACCTTCACCAGCTGGGGATATGGAACACTTCTTGGGCATATTTCTTATCTTGGCCTGGCTGGTCCTTGAGAGCTGTATAATGCAGCATTTGCCCATTTTGCCCCGACTACTACCAACTTTATATTATTAACTTCTTATATTCTTTCCACTGAAGATGTGCCACTTGTTAACCTAGCTCCAAGCTGGATCTGAGTTGGGAAATTTTGAAACGTGGGGTGTATTGTATTTTATGTATCTGGGGCTGTGGAACTGTTTCCAGACTTCCTGGTGGGCACGCCCTTGCTACTCAAGACTTATTGTGGACATGTTTTCCAGCACATAGACATGGGAGGCAGGGTGGGGGGACTTCCTGTGACTACTAGCCAGACTGATGAGACTTGTCTATGTGGCTAGCTGTTATTTAGATTAATGTTTAAAGGTTGCGTTGTCTGTGATATGTGTTTACCTCTTATCTGATGGTTTTCTATATAGAGTGGTTTTCTGTACAGCTATAGTCACTTGCCTCATGTTCAAGAGCTTAGGAAGCAGCGTCTTGGAGATAGAGATGCCCAGTTAGGATGTCAGGAGTCCATCACATTTGCTTCCTGCAGTTTGGGATATCCAAACCACCATCGGGATCCAAGGTCCAGTTAGCAGAAGAGGAGAGATACAGATACCAGCCACCATGGAAGAGGAATTGGGAAGGAGGCTGCAGGAGGTGCAGATGCAGCACAGGGGACCAGTGCCCAGCGCAGGTCCTGCTGGGATGATATTACGTCCACGGACAAATCTGAAAGGAAGTGCTAAACCGTGAGCAGCACCGCCAGGGAAAAATTCCAATCCATCCAGGAAAGATACTGGTTGCAGTACAAAGTGCCGGTGCTGTTATTCGGGGAACAACTGCACGAGGAGTAGACAACTGAGTTAAGCAGGCTGGTCTGGGCAGAGATGTAGCTGGACAAGAACTACAGAGCCCTCTGCTGGTATGTAGCCCAAGTGTGCCCTTGGACAGCGGACGACAGCCTGATGGAAGGCTTTGGCTATGGTGGTTTGGGCCGGTTGTATAGGAGGGCTGTCAGAGGACACTGACTTCGGGAGAGATCTGGAGTGGTGTTGGGAGGAAATCATGGATTTCAGAGACCATGTGCTGAACATCTCGGAAGTTCTCTGCACAGGAAGATTTGGAGGTTCTAGCTGTTCAGGAATGGGAGCTGGAGATCACCTACAGACAGCTCCCAGACTCTGCTCAGCTGCTGGGCAGGGCTCCCTTTGCCTGGGACTATTGGGAAGTAGCAGCTGACAGCTCTGATTTCCCGGCTGAAGTGTCGGAAGTGGGGCAAAGTAACAGTGTGCTTTGCCCATCTCCAACTGCAGCTATGAGAGCTTAGCTTCTTGGGCGGATGCAGCAAGTGTTGATTAACCTTGAAAAACCTGTGTCTGCACAGGATGAGCTTGGCATAGGAATGTGTCCGGGGATCTGGGAGATGAAGCAATCAGCTCCTCTCCCCAGCGGCAGTACAATGACCCGGGAGCAGAGGAAGCCATCTCCCCTTCCAAGCAAGAGTCCATGCACCTGGAAGACTGTGCCAGGGAGATGTAGTCTCCGCAGCTGGATGGGTCTTCGGAAGACTGGGCACCTAGTTCAGCTCCCCAGCAGCAGGCCAGGGAGAGGAGGAAGCAATCCTCCCTCCCCAGTGACAAGTCAGGGTGCAGGGAGAGGAGGAAGCTGTCCTCCCTCCCCAGTTGCAGAGCCTCTGTCCTGGGGAGAAGATGGCCGTCCTATCATCCCAGCGACAGATCAAAGATTTGGAAGTGGAGGAAGTCGTCCACCTAATCCCACAGTCAGCCAGGGCAGAGGATGTGGGGTCCCCGACTGAAGCCTTTGAAATTCAGTTTTTTCGGTGGACTGAGGTTCTCTAGTCTTTGCCTTCTTGGTCATGGTAAATAATTGTTAGGGCTGCCAGGAAACTTTGGTACAGTTTAAAAAAAAAAAAAAAAAAAGTCTTGGGAGCTGCCTCGAAGTGTTGCATACTCTTTCATCTTGAGGCCATGCCTGCTGTTGTCTTTTCTTTGTTTTGCTAAAATAGAGAAACCAAACCAATCATTGCTGCATATATAAATAGAAGTGTTAATAGAAACATTTTTTTTAAATCTTTCTAATGATTACATTATTAGAGAACCAAAATTTTAGCAGATTTGTTTACTGATTATGTTACAATTTGCTTTTTTCCCCAATATCTTTCTAAGAGCAATATACGGAAATATATCTTCCTAGGTTCATATGAGTGTTTAGAGTTTACTGCTATGGTTCTCATTTGTCATTGTCAAGTATTAGAGACTGCATGCTCTTTTTCTGATTCTCCCTCTTCTCTAAAGGAAGGCTTTGGATTTTCCAACAAACTAGGAACATTCCTGTGCAATAATTATTTCTAACTACCAACTAGCTCATTATCACTGGCTTTTATTCTTTTTACTCCACATCCTACCCAAGTTAGTTGGTGAGTTTTGGTATTGGACAACATACTACACAGAGTGTTTTAAAGCCTGGAATGGAGACATTGAAAGATGCTCTGAGTTAGTACACCTTCCAATGGATAGAAGATTTTGACAAACTGTCACCCTTTTCTGCTAACAATTCGATTCTAGGTGTACAGAGTAAAAGAATTGTAAGCACTTAGCCTAAAATTTCCAAACTACAGTATACAGGGGCAGGAACAATGAGTACCCAGATAGATTGCACTGGTTAGCAGGATTAGCAGCCTACAATCTTTCATAATATATGGGAATGTGTTAGACACCCCACAACATAATTTGTGCGCTGGGCTACAGCCTTCATTGGTTTATTCTAGGAGGTCATAAATGGCCTAATCATTGAAAGTGATGCTCTAAATTAGGTACAACGATTGCTGTTTGTTTCTGGTCATCCTTAGTTTATACTTTTATGATGCACAAAGCAATAATTTAATTTTGGCGGTTTGTTTTCAATGGTACACATGTTTGTCTCCAGCTGCAGGAGGTGGTCTGATTTCTAACTTTGAGCAACTAGTCCGAGGTGTCTGGAAACCTGAGAACAATGAACTACTGAAAATGTCATTGTAAGTAAATCTTTTATGTTATTTTTTCCATATTAATGGTAATGTTTAAACTGTCTTTTAAATAGAAACTGAGGTGAACCAGTTGTGCTTGGGTTTGCTGTATTCCAAGAAAACTTTCAGTAAGCAGTGCTAAAACATTTGCTACAAGCTAAGTCCAGCATTTTTGGGTAAATATTAAAAGTTAGAGGTTAAGGTTATGTTTAGTTTTCTTGTGCTTAAGTGAGTGAGTTGGGTTACATTTATAATAATAAAAGTGAGCGCTGACCAAAAAGCAGCTATGCACTCAAGGTAACCAATGTACGCTTATAAACAGAATAATCAGAGGTCCCATTCCTCTGATGAAGTGCGTGCGCACGTAACGCGTAAGGAGGAGCCCTGACATCGTGACGCTACGCCGCCGGAGCCACGTGGAGGCCTGGCGGCCATCTTTGAATCTCCAAGGGTTAGTTCATTTTCTATACCTGGATGACATTTTTATGCTATGTTTGCAAACCGCTACTTTGCCATTAATAAAAGCATTTATTCAACATTACTACACTATGGGCGTCCTTCCCTGACTCCTCGAGAGAAGTAGTTATTTGCAGAGCCCATTCTCACTATCCAGGCACCATACCAAGAGGAGGAAGACCCTCTGTAAACAGGCAGCTCCTTCCATTCATCCCTCATTAGGAGACCTCTGGTTCCCTGGATCTGACTCATTTCATCTTTTGGGCAAGTTCTGAATGCAACCCTGAGGGAGGATTACCCATTCTGACCAGACCCTTTTTCCTGATGAGGATTCCTCTGGATATGACATACGACGTATATTCATTTACCTTCTGGGGAGTGCTCATTTCTGCTATTTTTCCATGGAGCACCACCATTGATTGTTACCAGTCACCTGGCACGATAAATACTTCACAGACTATTTATTAGAATCTTCGATATTTTATGTGAATTTCATTCATTCTAGCTTTGATTTCTTAAGCGCTGCACTATTTTAATTATTCGGGTTACATTTTATGGTTAAAGCCGAATTATAGACCTAATTTGAAATATTGCTGGCAAGTAGAATTGTATTGCAGAAGTGAATGCCTTTTCTGCAATAAAAGCTCATTTTCTGTCTGACAGGGTCCCCTTCTCTTGAATGTACACTCAGTTGTGCATACATGGGCTGGCCTTCCCTGGTCTGGATCCATTACATTTGATTTCAGACAGGTTATTTGCCCTATGACAGCAGAGGTTACTATGTTGTACCTAAAACCTCAATATTAATGTACTGGGGAGGACTTGCAATACTACGAGCCATATACAGAAGATGTGTTTATTGCATATGTACAGGTACATGTTCATACAGTGTATGACTTTATTTGAAAAACAGTGGAACTTTAATTATAATGTATAGTTTATCAATGCTACCTAGATTATTGCTTAACAGTTTAATGATTGATAATTATGGGTATCTGTATGCATATTGGAAATGATAATGGCTCTGTCTGGTGTCACTTGAAATGTCGCTGTATTACTGACCATATTCTTTTGTCAATTGTTATGTACTTCTTGTGCAGTTGTGTGTATCAAACAAAAATTTAAAAAAAAATGTACATATATGGCTCAGTGCATGGTAAGTCTGTAATGGGGAAAGGTCAGCTGCAGGAAGCCCATAGGCTTTTGTTGGTGACTAGTCGTTTGCCCTCTGTCTGCCATTTTTGGGCACCGCTTTCCCGCACAGAATGCTGCTCTAAGTGCCCTGTCATACCGGTGCAATTTCAGGTACGATTTGGGAATTTAAATCGCACTTGAAATCGCATCTAATGAATGTGACTGCCGGGTGTCTTAACATTTGCAATTTGCTGCAGCATGATTTCTAAAGTAGTTCTTTCATTACTTTTTCTGCAGTTTTGTTGCGATTTCACATACATAAAATATAATGGAAATCGCACTGCAAATTGCAAGAAATCATTGAAAATCTTCACATGTAGCAATAAAGTCTTCAGAAATCGCACCTTAAATCACGCAGACAAATCACATGATTTTAAATCGCGGGTGTGACTGGTGACTAAGGGCTTGTTCACACTTGACTCAAAACGCTCACTCTTAACAATCGCACATATATAACGTTAATGCATGTTAATAGGTGCATTTGACTTACTTTAACGAGCATTAAAAGTGCTCACCCAAATGCGATATGTGCGTTTTTGATGCAGTTGACACATGTTGTAGGTGCGTTAAAACCGCACCACAAACCTTTTTTTAAAAAAATGAATGCCACTTAACCATATGTGTTACCATAGACTTCAGTGGAAGGAGTTGAAAGGCTTCAACTCCTTCAAACTTGACATGAGGCTTCAATTTTGAAGTAAAGCAATGCAACACTCATGCTTCATGTTTTGATGTGAACAGTGCTGTGTGCTGTCCATATTATCATTTGCATAGGAGTTTGAGGAGCATTAAAAACACACCCTCAAACACCTGGTTTCAATGCCAGTATGAACTAGGCCTTAGACGTACAGTACTGCAATTTAAGATCCAATTTCAACAGCCAAGTTTTCAAAAATGTTTTTAGTATTCTCGACTCTGGCCATTTCTGTTTATATCTAGTCAGCATGTATTGAGTAGTGATAACAATGAAAAATACATATGTATAGCATCCTTTTAGTGTTTTGTAATCTTTGGTCCTCTGCTTTATTTTCAGCCCTGTTAAAATCAGTTTACTTGGAGCAGTTTTATTTACACTGCAACACATTCACCTTCTACCTATAGCAAGATATCACCTTATATTTATCTACACCATGTTTCTAATTACTACAAAGGTAGGTATGATAAAAGTCTATTGTCTAAAGTCTAAAAGGTTTTTACTGGAACACTGAAACTTTTTTCTTGAGTTTCAAGTTGAACTACAGTTCTCAGCATAAATGAGTACACCCCAAAAGATTTGTCAGAAAACCTTTACTTTCCTTTAAAAAATCAACATTTTCTATGGGACACTATACTACAAAATACTCCCACAAATGTGGGCCATTGATTGCAAACAAGATTTGATAATTTGCACACAAAAAAAATAATTTTTCCTAACAAATTCATTCAAGACCATGTTGCAAAAAAAAAATACAAATACACCCCAATGAAAGTCTTAGGAGCAACAAAATCCTAATCAACAAGAATTCAACTACAGATGAGTGTAATTATTCATTAAACAGCAGCAGCAGACAGTTGATTATAAAAGGACTTTATGTAACAAAGAAAACTCCTTCTTATGGCACCAAATAGAAGAAAAAAGTCACAAGGCCTAAGAGAGAAAATATTTTCTTTACACAAGAAAGGTGAAGATTAGCAAAGCTTTACTTATCAGTCAGCAAAAGTGATACAAAAATTTAACAAAGATGGAACTGCAACCATCTCACTGAGACATCCAGGCCATCCACAGAATTTAACACCTCAACAGGAGCGTCTTCTGATGAGAAGGGTTAAAGAAAATCGCCATGCATGTTTACTGCAGTTAGCTAAAGAAGTAGAAGGCCAAACTGGGGTGATTGTTTGTTTGCCATGACACAATACGGCATACACTGCAGAGGAATGGCATGCATCAGTGTTGTCCACAAAGGAAGACTCTCCTACAGCCCATGCACAAAAAAGCCCGCCTGAAATTTGCTAGGGCCCATGCTGAAAAAGAAGATTACTGGGATTATGTACTCTGGTGTGATGAGACAAAGATAAATGTTTTTAGAGCTGATGGCTTCAAAACTGTATGGCATTGCAAAGATGAGGAGTACAAAGAAAAAAAAATGCATGGTCACTACAGTGAAACATGGTGGTGGCAGTGTCCTTCTGTGGGGCTGCATGAGTACTGGTGTTGTCTGGGAACTGCATTTCATTGACGGTATCATGAGTTCACAGATGTTCTGCTCTATATTGAAAGAGAAGATGCTACCATCACTCTGTGTCCTTGGTCATCATGCACTTTTCCAACATGACAATGATCCAAAACGCACATCTAAGCTCACTGTTGCATTTCTGAAGAACAGGTTGAAAGTGATTCAGTGGCCAAGTATGTCTCCTGATTTAAACCCAATCAAACACCTATAGGGAAATCTGAAGAGAGAGGTTGTGCATCACTCTCCATCCAGGCTCTAAAGAGGTAATTCTTACCGAATGGAAAAAGGTAGATGTTGCAGTATGTCACCAACTTGTTCATTCCATGCTTAGAAGACTTGGAGCTGTCCTTACAAATCATGGAGGTCATACAAAATACTAGATGTAGTAGTTTTTTGTTGTGGGGTGTATTCATTTTTGCATCAACTAATGTGAGTAAATTGGATGATTTTGTAATCTAAGTTATGTTATTAACCTTACTTTCATGTATTGAACTAAACAAATGTTCTATAAAACTCAGTATCGTCCACATTTTGGAAACTGTTCTTGTGTTCATTGAGATAGTGATTAAAAGCGTACTTATCATAAATTCCTTTCCCTTCTCTGCTTCAGTTAAAATCACCAGTACAAATAGCAATATCTGGAGAAAGAAAAAGGAATATGTTTACCTTTCTGACCACCTGTGTCTGGAAACACTGCCATGATAATGTTTCCTAGCTATAAATATAAATAATGTCGCGCTCCTAATCCAGCAAATAAATGAAATAATAAAATGGTGTACCCGTACAATTGAAAAATATAATCAAATAAAGAAAACCATTTTTGTTTAAAATAAATAAATAAAACCCCTTGTGAAAACAATATTAAACTAGAAAAGCTACAATTTCTGGGGAAATTGTGTGAAGTGTTCTTGCCTCCACCAGTAGTCTACAACTGGAGTGGGCGGAGTAACTGGGTGGAGTGGCTTGTCACTCTGCTGCCTGCTCATACACCTGGGTTCCTATGGCAACTCACTCTACAGCAAGGGCAGAGAAGAGCGGTTAAAAACAAACTGCTCCAACTTGCTCACTTCACTGGCGGTTGCCATCTTCAAATGGTTGTATTTTAAAAATTATAAATCCTACACCGAAGAGCTTTATATTGTGAGAATCACAAGACCCAGACCTACATTTTGATGCATAGTATGTCTCTGAAATATTAAAAATGAAGGCACAGTCGCAGTTTAGAAATTGTCCTTCAAATTTGAGGTGGCTAGAGTGGAGTTTCAATGAATGTCTTGAGAATGAGGGAGTGATGGCAGTTTAGAAATCATGTCCTGATTTTTCAGCTCACACTCTAGCTTTTGTCAGCTCCCACTCTAGTTTTGAACATTCCGCCATTTATTCCTATGGGACCAATTTCACCACAAAAACGCAGATATTTAGTGAACCGTTTGGCAAAACATTCCACAAAGTAATAGCACCAATCGGGAACAATCCGCACGTTTCGGTATATTACTGTCTATGTAGTGTAAAAACTGTGGAAGGAGTAAGGGTGGTAAACTGTAGAGTGAGTTGCCATAGGAACCCAGGTGTGTGAGTAGGCAGCAGAGTGACAAGCCACTCCACCCAGTTACTCTGCCCACTCCAGTTGTAGACTACTGGTGGAGACAAGAACACTTCACACAATTTCCCCAGAAATTGTAGCTTTTCTAGTTTAATATTGTGTTCACAGGGGTTTTTATTTATTTATTTTAAACAAAAATGTTTTCTTTATTTGATTATATTTTTCAATTGTACTGGTACACTATTTTATTATTTCATTTATTTGCTGGATTAGGAGTGCGACATTATTTATATTTATTTTATTGACACATAAATAGAGGATGTGTTGGATGTCAGCGAACCTATACGTATTATAATTGGTGGCTCACAAGTACTACTCATATTTTAATGTTTCCTAGCTGCAACAAATAACACATCCAGGTGTGTGAATTCCTTCTACCCTTACCATATGCAGCAGTTCCTTCCACAAGCTTTTATGCCCTCCAGCAAGAGGAGCCACTGCATGTGACAAGGAAAACTGGTAATCTTTTCATCTGGTAGTCAAATACTTGAGGTGTTTTCTGGAAACCAGTATCTTGAATGGCTGTGTGAACATAGACAGGCCTAGTAGCCAATCATTAGGCTGTGAAGTGATGAAACCACTCCCTACAGGTCTTTGACACAGCCAAACTGCATTGGATCCAGCATCAATTCAAAGCTGACATATCAGTTTTGGGTACAAAAGTAAGATCAACAACACCTAGGTACAAACAGGTATAAAAATGTAAAACTAGGTGCAGGAGATGAGATACAATGCTTACAATCTGCACATAATCCTAGCACATGAAAGCATTTGCATCCAATCCTGAGGTTTACACAGCCCTGTCACCCAGCATATAAAAACTGTGCAGGTGCAAGCTACAAAGTGCGCACACACACACTTAGTGGCTCGAAATATGCCAAAAAGATATCAGACACATATATGGAAATATGTGCAATAGAATACACTTTAAAAGGTTCTTGAAAAAGTCCATAACTTATGGCTCTACCAAAAGCCTAAGGGATTAAAGTGGTTCTAAAGCCTAAAAATTTTTTACCTTAATGCATTCCTTCCATTAAGGTAAAAAAACGTTTAGGCATCAGCATCCCCCCTTTTACTTTCTTGAGCCCTCATTTGATCCAGCGCCATGCATGCCTGTAGCTCTGATCTCCCCTTACTTCCAGGTCTCACTGGCTTGCTGGGGCACTGGGAGCCATTGGCTGCCAGCGCTGTCAGTCAGCCAGTGACTTGCGAGCAGGGAGTGGGGCCGAGTCCTGTCTGTGTCAATGGACACAGCAGCGGGAAAGGAGAAGGAGCATGCACAAGTGCCCCCATGGGAAGTGGTTTCCTGTGGGGTCACTGAACAGAGAGGAGAGGCCAAGAGCGCCTGGGGGGGGGGGGGGGGGGGGGGGGGGGGGGGGGGGACCCGAGAAGAGGAGGTTCGCGGCCACTCTGTGCAATTCATTTCACAGAGCAGGTAAGTATAGACATGTTTGTTATGTTTTTTGAAAAATAATTTTGCCTTTGCAATTGCTTTGACATGGTCGGCATCAACAACTTCTGCTCTGGAAAAGAATTGGGATATCCTCTTTAATGGCACCATGTGAAAGCACAAAGAAAGAAAGATTAAAAAAAAGTGCCACTGACTAAGTGTAGTAAATGTATTAAAAGTGAAAATAAAAAGCAGGTGTGCACTCACAAAGGTGTACTATGAACAGTACATTTAGTCCAGGCCAGGAGATGGTAGCCTCTCCACAGCCAGGCCGAGTATATCCTGCAAGTACCCTTTTTTTGTCCTGGTTCATGAACCAGCTGGACAGTGTACAGACTCTCAGGGCGGAAGCCGGGCACCAAGAGGGTGTGCTGATGTCACGGGGTGTGGCAATGCATTTTGGGGTGCTACCACTTGGTCAAGCCCTTTGTCAAGAGACTGCTTGCAGCATATACACAGCCTAGCTGTGGAGAGCTGCCATCTGTTGGCCTGGATTATATGTACTGTTTGGAGTACATCTTTGTGAGTGCACATTTGCTTTTTCATTTCACTTTTAATAAATTAACTACACTTATTCAGTGGTGTTTTTGTCTTTCTTTCTATGTTTCTATGCTTTCACACTGTCACACAACATAAGCAGCATGGGGGACCTGAGAGCGTAAAGGAACATGTTTATAAAAATGTGTGCAACAAATCTCATTACTACAAAAGTGATTTTGTGATCTAATATTGCTTGTGGACACTGAAAATAACTTGCCTACCATTTTGTTACTCCCTATATTGCTGGATATTGCCTCTTCTGTTCCTGGATGTGAATAACTTAACTGTTAAGAGGAAGGTTGGCCATACATTATACAATTTTCTTGAGAAATTGGTTTTAGATTTACCAAAAACCATATAATAGGAGGTTAAAACTAACAACACTTTCATTGTATCCAATTA